TTATACTAGTCACATGATTTTTAAGAATTTTGAAAATAGGACAAATCACGTGATTTCAGTCTTTAAGTGTCTTACACTATATTATATAAAAATATTGGCGAATCTACAGGTTCTCATAAGTAACTTAAAAAATCTAACAAATAATCAATTTTTTTTATATATTTGTGAAGTGTATACTACGTTGATGATTATATGTTAATTGTAGAGTTATTGGAATATTCTAGTAAAAGTTATCATAAAAATAAAGAGCATAATATTTTATTAATTTAATAATAAACTATATAAAATTTTCTCTGAAATCAATTAATGAAATCCTACATGTGATTGGCAAATTACAAATTAAATATAAATAATTATTAATTAGAAGAATTTATGAAGTTATTATTTATATTTTAAACTTTTTACAAAGTATTATTATAGATATAATTATCTAATATTTTAACTCTAATAATAAATTAAATTAAAATAATTTATGAATTAGTATTATCATGTAAAATATTATTTACTGTATCTAATCTAATATTAATAAAAAATATAGAATTTAAGTAATTTTAAACTTATTATCTTAGATTATTAAAAGTGATTTACTTTAACTAAAATCTTCAAATTATATTTTGAATTATTGAATAAAGAAGAAAAAATTCAGTAGTAAGTATTATTATATAAATGTTATTTTCTTTATAAATATTAATCTAATATTAGTAAAATTTAGATTTTAGTAGTTTTGAATTTAATAAATAACTTTATATTAAATATGAAATGTAATTTACTTTAATCAAAATATATGCTTTAAAGTATTAAACAGAAATTTTTTTTTTATTTTGTAAAAATAAAAAAAAAGTTGGTTAAAAATATATATTTGATTTAATAATAGATCTATTATCATAAATTCCAATTTTGTAATATACTAAAAAATTAGTATAAACAACTTTGTTAACTATCAAAAGTATTACTTTTTGAAAAAAAAAAAACTGTTAAATGACGCCTTCATTTATTAGAACTAATTTAAAAAATTTTTTTATTATTATTAAATTTTTTTTTTTTTTTTTTTAATAAAATTTGAAATCTTTTATTTTTACGACCAACTTTAATTCAATATATCCAACATCAAGATATATTATAATAACATACAGGGTTTTTATAAATCGCGTGGCATGTTAAAAATAATAAAGAGAAAGTATTCAAGAAAAAAAAAATTTAATATAGTTAGGGTAACCGTAAAAATATTTTTCAGAGCAGACAAATTCAACACCTTTCGTGTTGTATTTCGCGACTACTTATTGGTTAAAAACACGAAGTGAAGGGAAAATGACAAACGTTCAAAATTCTGGCGATTTTCAAATCCTTTTCGAGAATTTAACTTGAAAATTTCGAGTGCCTTTGTGAACGATTTTGAACGAGACACATTAAAAATTTTGATATAATTTTCAAATAAAGAAACAATGATGAGATTCATGCAAGTGTCAGAAAAAAAAAGCAAAAGGTGCTGCCGTGAGACCCATTTTACAGCTTTGCTAAAAATAATTTTTTTTTCGATAATTCATTATTTATGCATGAAATTATTTATCTTTTGGTAGTTCTTTACCATCTATGATTGCTGACCACATATCAAAGTTTCGCTAAAATACAAGTTTACATTCAGTATGTAAACGGTCGGTAAATTTTCTTTCTTTCTTTTATCATTCAAATAAAAAAAAAAAAAAAATACCAAATTTTTTATTTTTCACGAACAGGACAAAGTTAATACAATCGAAATGTAATGAAGCAGTATTTAAGTCTCATTATTTTTTTTTTTAAAGGGAAAAAAAATTTTCCTGTAGTTAAAGGGTGATGAAATACAGCATTTTTTTCGCGAAGAAACCTTTCTTTATTGGTTTAGATCGTTCGTTATATTATGAACCATTCTATAAATATATTCCCAAACAATCCAAAACAATAAGAACGAAAATGGTACAGATTGAAAGGTAACCCTGTTACGCATTGATTTAGAATGGTTGACCATTGACCATCTATGCTAATAGCTTCGATTTCAAAACTTATAGTTGACGTCTGCTAGACTTTATGTCATAGTCGTACAATATAAGTCATATTCAATTCAGAAGCGCGCTAAATAGACATTCATCGAAAAACCAAACGTACTGTATGATGGTAAAAATCATATTACAGTAACCTTCTACAATGAATATGATTATCTGAAAATTAACCCAACATATTGATCAACACAAAATTCAATGTCAACAAAGTTACTCCGCATCAGGGCGTTTTTTTTTTTTTTTTTCCTAAAACTAAACCCCAAATAGTATTATTCATGTGCAAGTACAATCGATAAAAACATGAGATTTTTCGTAAAATCAGGATTTAAAACGAGAATATGAACTTATGAATGGAAGAACAATAGAAAATTATTTTTTATGAGCACGGGTGTAATTCATAGCCTTTTTGACATTTCTGTGATTTCTAAATGAGTAAAGTTCATTGTTCTATTCCGATTATCATATTGAAACCTTAAATTTTTTTAAGGGTAAAATTATCCCCGCATTAGATCACTTTGACGCTAAAATTGGAATTGAAATGTATCGCGTCAAAAAAAAAATTCATTTGTCAATTGTTAACATTCTAAAAAAAAAAATTTTTTTTTTTTTTCCTCGCCTATAATTAATCGTAGTTTGGAAAGTTTAGGTCGTAAAAAATCACAAGTTCGAATTATATTGTTCTCTTTAAAATAAAACAAAGAAAAATTCTAAAGATGTAATTTTCACGAGCAAAAAAAAAAAAAAAAAAAAAATTATTTTAGATTATGTATGCATAAATTTTTTTTATATACATATGCATTCGTCGTTCGTTTTAAGAATAAAATATTTTAATATTTTATATGGATTAAAAATTTAGGCATTGCGCAATAAATATCCCCAACATTTTTCATTTCATTTCGATTTGCTCACCATTTTTATCGAAAAATAAAAAAAAAAAATAATAATCCTCATTTTATCCTTATTTTTTTTTTTTCTAAAAAATTTATCCTTCCCCGCAATATATATATTACAAAAAACAAACAAACAAACAAAAAACAACAACAACAACAATAACGCATATTCAGCTCGTTAAAAAAAAAAATTCCCTCCAAAATAATTTAAAAAAAAAAAATGTTTGAAGAAATCTTTAAAAAACGAATTCACGAAATGAATTCGCTTATAACCCGTAAGGAAAGCAAACTGGTATATGAAGAGGAATGTAATCGTTTAAAAGATATAGTGGAACATCTAACAGAACAACGTAAAGAATCGGTAGATACCATAAAATTGGTGAATAGCGGATTAAACGAATTAATTAACAGTTTGCAAAAAAAGAATCCGCCAAGTAACGTTACTCCAATTCCTAATGAATTAATAAGCACCAGGTCAGCTCAACTATTAAACTCAATTCAAGCTGAACTTGAAATTGACGGGGTATTACCACCGGACGACTTGGAAGATGAAAGGTCAAATGAATTTGTCATGGAAGTGAATGAATCATCATCTCTTAAACCCATTAAACGACACGAGGACGATGGTTTGAAAACTGAGTTGGTTATACTACAAAGTCAAATGAATAGATTAAGAACCGAACAAGACAAATTAACTTTAAATATTGATCAACATCGAAAACAAAAAAATGTCAAAGTTCATGGAGAATCAAGCAATCACGCTTATAAACGTTTCACCCGCATGGTTGATTCCAAGGAAAGCTTGGATGATAGTGATAGTAGCGGAATGGATACCGAAAGAGATGAAGATTCTTACGCGGAATTAATTAAGAAACAGGAAAAAGAAATTAATATGCTTCGTCAAAGGATTAAGATTTATGACAATCAAATCAAAGAGTATCAGTCCGTGAATGGTGTGGTGAACGCAAGTCACATGATCGACACGGACGAAGCAAAAGGCATCAAAGGTGAATTCAAGAATTTACAACGATCGTTTCATAAATTCACGAGCGTATCGGGCGAGGTGGAAATCAAAGAAGCAAATTCTCTATTGGAATTATACCAATTGGAATCATTCCAGGATAACTCCAAATCATCAAAGATACATTTGGCCGCAGCACTGGAAGCACGTTTGTTATCAACACTTCAAGAAGAAGTTGAAGGTTACTTTGCAGTAACGAAAAAGAACTCATATTTGGGAGAAGATTATGATGACAATCAACTTGAGTTGGACCTAGTTGAAACCACTGAAAAATTAGTTGAATTACTAAATCGATTTGCAAACGCTCGTACCAACGGAGACGAATCTCTCAAGAAAACATGCAGCGAATTTCGTTCTCTAATCTATTCTACACTAAGTACCTACTCCTTTAAAAAATCTGGAGATGAAACACATCCATTTATAAATTCATTGGTGTCACAGTTCATAAAATTCATGGAAGCATATCGTGCATTCTCATCGACGACCGAGATATCGCAAGTTAAAGAAGAGGCGAAGCAAATTATCTTGGAATTTATTTCTCTTGTTTATTTCAAATTAAAATCTTTTGATCCTCAACCGGAATTGATTTTTTATGATCAATGTTCAGACGTTGACGAACGCAAAATGAAAGGCGCTTGGAGTAAAGCCGATTCATTAAATCAAGAGGTCGAAATTTGTTATTTCCCCGCTGTTATAAAAAATAATACCTCTCAGAATGTTCCGATCAGCAAAGCTCAAGTGTTGACTCGACCTCGTTATAAACCAACGACACAGATTTAAATGACAAGAAAAAGTTTTCCATTTTAGCAAAATGTATATAGAATCAAAAAAAAAAATTCCTTGTAAAATATTTAAAAACGTTCACTTATTCAATTATTGCGGAAAAAAAGGGTCGTGTTGTCAATAGAAAACACATCTCAAATAGATCTTATATTTATACATTGTACACATTACAAAAAAATAAATAAATAAATAAATAAATAAAGTAAAAGTTAAAGAAGAAAAAGTTGTATTTATAAATATGAAATTTTAATTTTACAATATTTTTATGTCAAGTTAGGATTCAATGATATCTAACATGATTAAACAGCAAAGAACCAAAACAATTTCCAGAGAACGATGATCTCTAACATCCCGCCAAGCATTTGTCAAAATACATAAATCACCAATCATATTCCAATCCTCATGTTTCCTCTTCAAAGTAGCAACAACCTCTTTCTTCTTCTTTCTCTTAATTACACTAGATAAATCATATTCGATTATTTCACAAATTAAATCAGAATCTTTTGAACCAAATAAGGTTGGTTTCCACCTATAATCTCTCCCTTCAAAATCAAAATGCCAGGTATTACTAAATGTGCCTGTTCTACGTAATTCAGTTTCCATTTGAAGGGTGTGAATAATGATCAATGGTTCTCCTACCAAAGAAATACGCTTCGCTTCTCCTATTATAAAATCATTATATACTTGCCTAAGTATACAATGATACAATGGAGAATCGCCGTTTCTTATGACTTGTTTTGAATATATTGCATGTAAAATTGGTTCTTCTTCACCACTTAATTCGGGTATATTTACGATTTGATTGACAACATCTTTTTTATCGTCTTTAATAATTTCTACCTTTTCCAATTCTGGATTAACAACAAATTCTTTTGGTATGTTAATAGGATAAAGTATTTCGATATCATTAACTGAATTCGGGGATGTACGAACTACAACATAATTTAACGCTTCTTTAAACACAGCTAATTCATCAAGTGAAAGTTTTAAACATTCTTCCTTTGGTAATTTATCACCGGGAAGAGTTGAAGTTGTGTGTTCTGGTATGGTTTCTGTCTCCGATTGCTTTTTATTTCTAATAATTGTTGACATGATTAAAATAAAAATGATAAATTTTATTGTAATGGGAAAAGAATCTTTTTTAATAAATTTTCTGAAAATTCTAATATAAATTGATTCGTGATTCATCACGTGTGCTACACGCAAATTTATTACGTGTTACTCGAATTCATAATAAATTATGATTGGCTCAGGTAAATGTCAACTTGTTAAAATTTTCGTTCGGAGTTTTGTAAATCCGAAACTTTATTTCCTAAAGGATCGTCATCCTATATTATTTTCCAAATCGTTTTTATACTACCCAAAATGTGATATGGTATTAGTATGGGGATGAGTGCTAAGAAAAAGGGACCAAATTGTAAAAAAAATTTAATTTTTAAATGATTACACTTAGAAATAAATGTTTGAAATCATTTTTCCTTCCCCCCCCATATAGTTTTTATGATGCTCAATCAAAAAAGGTAATTTGAATAATAATGCCAAGTTTTTTGCCACACGTGATTTTCAATATCCTTTTCGACTATTTTGTAATTTAATATCTCTACTTCCAAAAGTGGTTGAAGTTAAAAATTCTACCAAGATTTGTCGTTAATAGTGCTTTTAAGGTATTAAAATTTTTTTGAAAAAATAAATGGTCTTTAAAGGGTACAAGTTTTTCATGGGACAACAATTTTGTACAAAAAAATTATGATTGGACACTGAAGTTCTCGTTGATAACTGATTATTTATTATCTCCAGTGGAGAAAAAAGTGAAATGGTCACGTGAAAAATCTTCATGTCCGGTCTTCCTTCACCAGTAAGAAATAATTCTTTTTAATAATGGAAACAATTTGAAGTGTCAGTTCTTTTCGTTGATAATATGTTTATTAGTATTTGCTTGTTCTTTATAAAGCATGCCACATGTCAGTGCAATCAATTACGATGATTCATAGGCCCAAAAAACTTTTAAAAAGTCATAAGATACTTCAATAAAAATCGTCTTATGAAATGATTGTTTCAGGAAACATTTTGCTCGTTTGTTTCATTGATCCTTTTGAATCCTATCTAGCTACGCTTCGAGTTTCCGATACACGTGGACTTTTAACAATCGTACATATTAATAAACGACCACAGTAATCGCTAAAGGTTCTCTTGCAAAAAATGTTTTCAACCGGCTAATAAACCATTTTAATAATAAAAATATAACATTATTTACGAAAATAAGTACATAAAATTGTTCATGTATAATACTTTTGATGCAATATTATCTGTATTCAAAGATTCCTTTCCTTTGAACGATAATCTTTTGTTTTTTTAATGGCAGAATATGGATCACACGTTGCGTATATGGATTCGCGTAATATTGGAAGTTTTGATAAAAGTCAAATCCAATCTTTGACACGTGCGGATCGGGAAAGTTGAAATTATAAAATTTATGTTTCAGGTGACAGACAATCAACCAATGGCCATCTGACAGAAAATCGTTCGTTCTCAAATATGAAACAGTTCACAACTCCTTACTTTGATAATCAATCATACAGGGGGCAAAAGGAGACTTTAACACAATTCAATCTAGCTATTTTTAAATCAATTAATTCATTTTCACTACAATATATAAAAATGAACGAATTATTGCGGTTACATCATTAATTTAATTAATTGATAAGCAATCGATTGTGTTATCATTTGTTGTGTTTCATGATTGTGGGAAATTTCAAGTCAACCGATATTTTGATTAAATGACGTGCATTTAATTGTATCGCTGTATTGCGGTGGATTGAAAATTATTCATCACTTTGTAACCTTCTTTTTCACCTGGTTGAAACAGTTCCAAATTAAAAATTTCTTTTTCTATTTCACTTTCATGTTTTAAAATCATACAATCAAAATTAAATGTAACGATTAACGGGTAGCTCCTGCATCGATCAAATACTTTTTTAAAAGTATTTTTGGAGTTACGGGTCGGAAAATCAAAGCAAAAATGTAATCATAAATGGTAACACCTTGACCATTAAGAACGCTTATTAAATCATTCTGATCAACTGAAAATATCAAACAAGCAAAAAAAAAAAAAAAATTACACACAAAAAATTATTTTCTTTGTTATAAGTAATTCTCCGATTTCGGATTTGCAATTTTTAATGTTGTACTCACTTATATTGTGTTAAATTTCGCATGTAATCTACAACTTTTTACTTAGTTTGTCCGAAATAAATATTGAATGAAAATTTTATTACCTTTATTAGTTTTTTTTTTTATTTTCAAAAAAAAAAAAATTTTTTTAAATTTTTCTTCTTTCAAATAAAAAAAAAAAAATTATATACATCTATTTTTTTTTTCATTACATTATTATTCATACTAAAAAACAAAAAATTTAGTTTTTTGAAATGCAATCTATTAAATGCGTTGTCGTGGGCGACGGGTAAATATATAAATATTCTCTTTTTTATTTATTTTATTTTAGTTTTTTTTTTCTTGGTGATTTCAACTCTTTGTTTAAAAAAACAACTTTATTAAAGAGAAAGGTGACCGAGAAAATTATCTAAGAGTAATTTATAAAGAATTTTAATTAGATTTAAATATATGTTAAAAAGTCATATGTTTTAAAGCTAGCACTTACAACGATCGTTGTGTGCCATTCCAAATTCCATCGCCATTAGTGAAAATTGTGATAATTACATTTAGAATTATTTGAGAGTAAATTATTTCTGAAATTTATATGAACGAGAGAAATTAATCCTTTACTTTTTTTATTTAATTTAGAGCTGTCGGGAAAACGTGTCTTCTAATAAGTTATACTACAAATGCTTTCCCTGGCGAATATATTCCAACCGTGTAAGTAACTATTTTTTTTTGTTCTCGATGATTTCTATTTCCAAGATTGTAATATTCAAAAAAAATATATATATATATATAATTGTTTTTGGGGGATAAATAGATTTGATAATTATTCAGCGAATATTATGGTTGATGGAAAACCGATTAATCTAGGACTTTGGGATACAGCGGGACAAGAAGATTATGATAGGTTACGTCCGCTCTCATATCCACAAACCGATGTATTTTTGATATGCTTTTCATTAGTCAGTCCACCTTCCTTAGAAAATGTTAAAAATAAGGTAAGATGCTTGATGTGATAAATGACTATGACTTTTCCTAGAGAGGGAACCTTAACAAAATTCTTACTGATTATTACCATAATTACAAATTTTTTTTTTTTTTAAAAAAAAAAAATAATAATAATAATCATCTCTCTATAGTGGTACCCAGAAATTTCTCACCACGCTCCAAATATACCAATTATTCTGGTTGGAACAAAGCTTGATCTTCGTGAAGATAAAGATACCATTGCTAAATTACGTTTGAAATCTCAAACACCAATCACATATCCCGAAGGATTACAAATGGCTAAAGATATTGGAGCCGTGCGTTATCTTGAATGTTCTGCCTTAACACAAAAAGGATTAAAGAATGTTTTTGATGAAGCTATTCGTGCGGTTCTTTCACCTAACCCTGTTAGAAAGAAGAAATCAAAATGTGAGTGTCAAATGATTCGGTAGTTGAGTATATTTTTGAGTGTACGCTTTTTAAAGATTTTTTTTTTCTTTTAGGTGTCGTCATGTAAAAGCTCTTTGAATTTTGTTTAAATGAGAATGAAGTGTAGCTGTTGTAAGATATTACAAATGTTTGTAAATTAGATATAAAGATTCAATCAATAGATCTTTTTTTATAATTAACAATCAATTACTATGCTAGGCGTAGTAGTGTTTTTTGTATTTAAATTTTTGTGTAAAAAAAAAAAAAAAAAAAAAAAAAAAAACCAGAAAAAAAGTAAAAAAAAAAAAAAAGAAATCAAGAAACCATTTGTAATTCTCTATTTAGATATTTTAATATCATAAAATCTACAAAATATATTTATATACATATATTAAATTTACTATTATTTAAATAAAATAAAAAAAATTACATTATTTTTTAATAACCTTTTTAAATTTACATGGCTTTACTTTTGAAATAATCATTAATGAAATATTATCTTTGAAAAAAAAATTCAAGTGTAAATAAATATAAAAGAATGGAATTCAACTACAAGTAAACTGATATATATATATATTTATATAGTATATGTATATTATATTAAGAAATATTCCTTTAATCTTAAATATATTACTATGAACTATGAAAATAATATTTATTAAACCTATTATAAAGTTAATGTATTTTTAGAAACAAATTTTAAATACCCAAAATTTTTATTTTTAAACTTTAAAATTAAATTAATCACAATTTTGGTTAGTATTAATTTCATCAGTTCAAACTATTTTTCTTTATTTGTAAAGTATTTAAACAATGTAAAAAAAAAAAAAAGGTAGATTAATTTATCCAAAAAGAAATCCTTTATGTATTATCCCCCTTTCTTTAACAATTGAACTTTTTATCATTACCAAAAATAGAAACTTGCCTTCCCTAAATCATTAAAACTTATTATATTAATTTGGTTATTATAATAGTATATGAGAGCGCCTCATCTCTTTTTAAACAATCAAAATCATTGATTATCTAACACATTTAACCGGATAAAGTAAAAGCTATCACATTCCGTTTAATTCCTTTGAAAGTAAAGATTTTTTTTGATTTATGGACAAGATTATGTCATGTAGATCACGTGTACAGAACATATCTCAGCCAATGAACTTTCTAGAAGGTTTGAACGCATTATTTCCTTTCGTTTTAATTTGTTGGTAAAGGTGAAAAAAAGACCGAAATGTGCAACTTGTAAAAACACGTTATCTTACTAACTTGATTATTATTATTATTACTAATCTTTTTTTTTTCCTTTGGGAAAGAAAAAAATACTTGCATGAAATGTTGTAATACGGAAAGTTTTTCCCAAAGGAAACGCTTACAAATTTTTTTTTAATTAAATCAAGAATCACTAATATATTACTTTTATTAATTGGGAATTATCAATAATAATCATAATAATAATAATAATATAATAATAATAATAATAAAAATAATAAAGAAATCAACAAATTATTTAACAATTTTACAAATTGACGAGACAAATGATTGGGTTTGAAAGAGAAAGAAAACATACAGACAATAACATCATTAAACGTTAAAACAGCGAAATTTCCAAACATTTTCTTTCTTTCAGACCAACCATTTCAAGAAAGATTTACCATTTGAGATTATCTTTTTGGTGATGGTATTAGAAAATTTTCTTGGGAAATTTGTCTATCCCACTCATCGTTAAAAATGGGTTTAGCTTTTCCCAAATAAACTCCAAAATAGAGGTACAAAATAATTAACTGATTTTATTAAAAAAAATATTTTTGTTTGTGTTTTAGTTTGTTGACATCTTTAAGCGTTTGTACAAAAATAAAAAAGAAAATTTCCCCCTATTATGAACATCCGAATATTTAATATGATGAGAATTTTTCATAAATCTTAAAGTACTAAAGGTAGATCACATGAACATGGGAATATTGACTCTACTTGGCGGGAGTATTTACTGGTTTTTGGCGGGGGTTAATAACAGAATTAAAATTATTAAGGGGAAGGCTGTGCGAGGGGTGACAGATAATTCCGAGCTACAATCTATGATGTAATGTGTAACTTCAATTATTGATTTTGCAAAAATAATTCTTCCACCACGAACGGATTTAAGGTAAAATTAAAAAATCTTTTGGCTTTGAATAATATAGGAAAAGTCAATGGTGATGATGTTACACGAAAAAAAATAAACCGAAATCTTTCAATAAATTTTATGGATTGATTTCTTTTCGATATTAAAATGTTTTTCTTGTCATACAAATTTAAATCAAGAAGTGTGGGGTAAAAAAAAGACTAGGTTTATTATAATCTCCTAATGTTGAGATTTCTTTATAATCCTTAATTGACACGAACGTTACGCCAAACTAATCCGGTAAAAGAAAATTTTTTCCGTAATTGCAGGTTTTTTTTATTTATTCACTATTTTAAAGGTGTCAGAATGATGTTGGATAATAAATTTTTCACTTTTTCTTTTGAATATCGCACAAACCTTTCTAAAAAAAGATAAAATCGACAATTATTTTGCTCTAAAGTAAAATCATAATTTATAAAAAGTATATCAACCCATTGAAAATCCCCAACGCAAAAAAATTTCAAAAAAAAAATTTCACTCCCACACTAAAAAGAAAAGGTTTAAATTTTTTTTTTATTGACTAAATAAAGGCAAAAAAAAAAAAGAAAAAAAAATTTTTTAATGCAAAAAGTCTCTCGACAATTGTTTACAGTCTTTATAACGAAAAGAGACCAAGAGATACTCTTAAATCTAAAATATTTTTTTTCTGAGAACTTGTTTCGATAACAAATTTTTTTTTCTCAAAATCCATCAACGTAAAGAACAACAAATGGATCTTGACTGGTGCCTCACTTGCTCTCAACACACTTCGGTAAGATCACAAATTTGATTTGATGTATGCTAACATCGGTTAAAACGGTGAAAAGTTCTCGAAATTAATCGCTTCACTCTCTCGTTTTCTTTTTAGGGAACACTTTATTGCTCAGATGCTTGCCGTTTGCAAGACATTTCTTACTCCAACAAGATAACATCATCATCATCTTATTCTTTTTACTCAAAATCGTTCTCTCATAACTCGTCTCCGCATTTCCCGACATACAATTATCGTTCCACGAAAAAAACCATGGCGTCCTCATCAATCACACCTCCACCCACACCTTCACCTACATCAGCGATTTCGACAGCGTTATTTGATCACTCGGGAAGTAAGGATAGTTCTTACCAGTCTTCTAATGATGAAAATGTGATTGCAGCTGCGCAATATACAAAGACGCTTCCGTGGGTGAATCAACGACAACAACAATCGACTGTGCAAAGATTGTCCGTATTTACTTGAATTATATAAAGTCGGTTGGCGTGAAATCAAAAAAAAAAAAAAAATTTGAAATACGCAAGTTAATGTTTTGTGAATATAAAAAAAAAAAAGTTTTTTTTTGGCTCTATTAAGCCACATCGCTTGATAATTTTTTTTTTTTACGGACATTTTTTCTTTTTTCTTTTCTTTTACAACTAAAGAAACAATTAACCACAAAATATATATATATATATATCCCCCCTCCCCCCAAAATTTTACTAAAAAAAAGACATTTTATTATTTTAGTTTTTTTTTTCCTTCCTTGTACAGATTTCAAAAAATTTCAAAAACTTTATAAAACTCTTAAGAAGAAAAAACCAAAAGTTTACACGAGAGCCAAAAAAAACATATGAAAAAATATTTCTATGTATAAAAAATTAAAATCAAAAAACGAAAAATTCCCAACTTCAAAAAAAATAAACTTTTATTTTATTTTTTTTTATTATTATGTATTATTATTATTTGTACAGAAAGAATTTAATATATATATATGTATATAAAAGTAAAGCATTATTATTAAGATTTCGAACCCCACAAAAAAAAAAAAAATATAATAATAATATATATATATTTATTTTTAATTTTCTTTAATTCATTCCGATATAACTTTTAAAAGTAATTCAAAGTGAGATTATCTGTCCATGAAATACAATGGCGCAGAATGTTGTTATTCACCAAAAGATTAATAAGGGTTACACGGTTTCAGAAAAGATGTTTTCACGTAAAAAAAAAAAAAAACTGGGCATGTGTGATTTTTTTTCCTGGTTGGCTTTGGATTTATTTCGTCGCACTGATCAATAGATTTACACGTATGATCGTCAATCACAAAGAATTAATTATAAACCCCCATTTCTTCAATTTCTTGATATATTGATTTTAACTATAAGAGAAGAGATGTTCTTTGTCTAAAACCCATCCCAAATTCGAATTGGGCTGAATATTCTTTAATAAATTAGTGAATTGAATAATTTCTCTTTTAAACGGAAGAAACTGTTCACCGTCAATGATTCGCACAGATCTGCGATGTACGGTATCAATGATTTACAAGGCCATGTAATGTATGTGCAATGTGATTCAATGTCTAAAGAAGAATTTGAGGCGGGTGGGCGAAAGTTTCCTTTTCGCTCTCACTTCATTTCATTCTCTTCTCACTATATTCGTTTAACCATTTTCCCAAAATTGACTTATTTATTTGCCTAAAATGATCTTTTAAACATTTTCTTTCAGTCAGATCGCTTTGCCGCCCTAAATCTTCAATTGAAAAATAACGTACCGATCCATCGGTTAACTTTTTTTTTTTTTTATTTTTAATTCAATTTATTAAATTTTATTGATAACTTAATTTTCTATCAATGGCAAATGGTTGAAATCGTGTTTCATTACTTATTTATTCTCTTTACATAATTTACGGAGATTGTGATTTTTTTTTTAATGATTGATTATCAATTCAATAAATTAATAAATTGATCCTAAGCTAAACCGAATTAATCATAAATGTGTGAATCTGATAAAAGGTATGTGCATAAGTACATTTGATTATTTATATGGTAAATATAATATAGTACAAGAATGTAGTACCGGGGAACTCCTTCAACATAAAAAAGAAAAATTTCGTCTTCAAAAAACGCCATTTCGAATTATTTTTCACGTACGGTGATGCGTAGCATTAATGATTTACTTTCTAAATTAGGTTAACCCA